ACTTATTTCGGGTAATGCACGTGTCTTGTTGCTTGTTTCTAGGTGATGCTCCTTACATAACAAAGTTCCCGTTGATCAATTCTCAAGCCTCATTTCAAAAGCCTATTTCGTAACACAGGCGTCCTCTTGTTGCCTCTTTTCTTTTTATATATATCCTTGACTACTTGCTTATACTAAAAACCCTTAAGTTTTTATTATATGTATTTTCAACTGCTAAAACTCTGAAGCATATTCCTTACATAACTAAGTTCCTGTTTATCAATTCTCAAGCCTCATTTCAAAAGCCTATTTCGTAACACAGGCGTCCTCTTGTTGCCTCTTTTCTTTTTATATATATCCTTGACTACTTGCTTATACTAAAAACCCTTAAGTTTTTATTATATGTATTTTCAACTACTAAAACTCTGAAGCAATTTATAAAATTTCCTCGAAAATTTTCAAGTTGCTTCATAATGATTCGTTAATAAAGTTATTATACTACAATAGGTTTCTTTATATGGATCCAAATAAATAGTGTATTACACTTTAACCTATAAAACCCATTTGTTTGTATTACTTTTTACAAAAGTTAATAATATGTAAACCTTGACTATTTTAGTAATATGAAAAGTTTGAATGTTTTGGATAGAATTTCACAATTATTTATCAATTCTAATATTATTTACAAATGTCTAACACTTAACTAAAACAAAGAGTTAGATAAATATAGATATTGATTTCCCATAATCATTTCACGTTGTTCAATGTAAATATTGTGTTAACTATGTATATATTAATACTATTTCAAAATAAATATATGTAATATTTGTAAGAGATAGAAGTAAATGAAAGATTTAGATGGTTTGCCTGTTTTTACTATGCAAGGCACATGTATTGTTTTTTTGTTTTAGTTGGACACTTGTAGGAAGCATGATAAATTTAGAGACTACAAGATCAGCAACTGGTATAAAAGTTGTATGAATATAAAAATATAGTCTGTATATAATCTGTATATATAGTCTATATAAAAATATAGAACTTGTGTAGTTTCTTGTTATGGTAATATAATCCACATTTTAGTAATAAATTAGAGCACTATATATAATTAGGGAAAGGTTTAAAATATTATTATCATTAAAGTCCACATTACTTTTGCATAAAACATAGTCATTTAATGAATTTTTGTAGGGCTCGAAGTGTGTGAAGTTTACTCTGCATTAAAATGTAATGAATTTATTTACCATAGAATTATCAATGGGGTTCATATCCCATTGACTTTAAAAAAAAATTTCTTTAACTGTTTATGCAATAAATTTTTATGGGTACATGATTATTGGTTATAGTGTTGTTAATAATATGAGTCACATAAAATTTAGACAAAAATACCATTTAATTCTATCAGTTACTGCTGGGGTCCTCTTTTTTTATACATATTAAAAATTAATCGAATGCACACATTTTTCTGGTCAGTTTTATTTTTACGTTGAATGTGTTAACAGTTAAAGACATAAAATTATCCAGTATGTGGACCCACTTTGAGTGACTAATATAGAAAAACAAGTTGGTAATTTGAGGGTTAATCACGTATTTTATTTCACAATGCCATTTTAAATCGTAATATATTGTTTTATGAATAGAAACTCTGGAAATTAGAAGAACAGCTAAAAGAAGCTGAAATTTCCATATTATCAAGAAATAAGGTGATTGGAGAGCTACGACTAGTTGTTCCAGATTCATCCAAAACTGTGTTCCAACCACCTGTAACCCTTGAAGATAACCTTATAGAAGCTAAACAAGCACTTAAGGTGTCCCAGTCAAAAGTAGAATATTTGGAGGTACAGAGTAATTTTAAAAATAAACTGATCAAAGTTTAATTATAATGGCAGTTTAACTTTAAAAACACTGCATATTATAGGATATTTTAAATTTTACTTGTATTCTTTAGTTAGTAGGTTTATTAAACACCTACCACACTAGCCAGCCCAGCATCTTTTAGTACTTAGCCTTGGATGGGCAACAGGAGGGTGATTCTGGAAACCAGTGATTTAGGGTTATTTCTGTATATCTCAATGAATGAAGCTTGGCACAACTTCTAAAACAAAAAACTAAATAATAATGGAAATATGGTATGATGAAATCTACATGTATTATACTATGGTGGTACCACACTGGGCATTATACCATCCTTTTTATATTTACTCTTCATAGCAGAAATTGCATTTTTAATTTGAGAATCAGTAGGCAAATCATCTGGTAATGCATTGTGCATATGACTCAGATTCATCACTGCATCTTTGGCCTTTACTGTGCTGTTACTTTCACAAAATATAAAACTAATGATTTCTTATATATGATTCTAATCCCCCATTTGGAAGATAACGATACCATTGTGACTGTTGTTTTATGTTTTGCTGTCAATGCAATAATCAATTGACAAATGTCCAATTCAGCTGATATGTCAGATTGATTGGTATATATTTGAATAAGTTCTTCCCTCATCTGACCTGGGTTTAGCTTAATTGCTACACTTAAACCATCACATCCACATCTAGAATATTTAAAACATGTTTCATTGCTACATCACTTTATATTTAAAAGTTAACTTCACCATTTTGCTCTCATGATCTTTGGTCCAGTCATGGGTGTGGTCCAGCAACCTAGACCTAGAAAATAGTGCTAAATGTCTTCTTTTTTTCTAACCAAAACAACCCAAATCTTTCAGAATGATTCATTTTTGTGGATCCTCATCAAGATGCTGGGCTGGCTCATGTGGCAGGTGTTAATATTGAATAAATGAGATTAGAATCATGTAGAAGATTATCTTCACACTATTGTATCTTTAAAAAATAAATACTCAACTGGTATATGCTACAAAATATCATACACTGCAATTAAAATTGCATAAAATATGTTTGGTTTTGCATATTTTCATTTCAATGAATAAGTGACATTATTAAAGCACCATATTATAACCATTTATTTAATGTCTAGGGTAGACATTTCTGCATTATTAATTTAATCATAACAAGTAGAATAAATGTTAAGAAAGGTAATACTGGAAACTTAACTTTGTGGCTAAATCACTGCTGTTAGTTAAGGATGTACCAATATGAAAATTGGATAATTACTGATTACCAATTAATTTGTTCCTTCAGTCAGTATTATTTTCTAATATCTAATTAAATACATTTTTCAATGGTACTTAAGACAATCTTTGTCCATGCAGTCAGAGATTTGACAATTCCTTCACACTTAATTTTTTATATTACAAACTTTTTTAAACCTATTATATTGTTTATGATTTTCCTCTAACCCTGTTTTAACTTAAAGCCCACTGCTCTTATTTTTCACTAGAACAGTAGCTAGGAGTCTTCATTTTTTTGCTCACTCATTAAATGAATAATAGTAGAATCTTTCATAATCTAAAATTAATTAAATATGTTTTTATATTTTAAGCAGTAGGTCTAAAACAGCTGGTTTAAGACACAGAATGATCTACAGTGCATTAAAAATATTTTACCCGTAAATAAATTTTAATAAGAGAGTGTCTTTCTTGTAGGTTTTTATATTAGATGTACTTGCCCAGAGTCTGAAAGTGTTCTGTTTCAAGAGTATATAAAACCAAAACACTAATACAAAATGAACCAAAATCTTAATGATTGCAGAGATAAAGCAAATTCCATGCATCTATTTTTTGGAAAGGGATTTCTTTTTATATTTCCTTTATTGAAAAGTTTGCTGCCATCTAGAATTATAAATGTCAGAATCATGAGATATTTAATTTATAAATTCCAAATGTCAAAAACTCTCATCAAACATGCAAATGAAATTGACTTAATTTTACTTTTGAGCATAATACTAATATTTAGGTTTTAAAGCAAATTTGTATAATTAATATAATTTTGTATTCTTTAGGCGAGGTTAATTCAAAAGGAAGAAAGTTTATCACGCTATAAGGATTTATTGGCACAAGCCAGAAGTGATTTAGGAATGGAACAACAACAGTACGAGAAAGAATTAAAAACAATGGAACATCGTTTGGTTAATCGGGATATTATTCCTTCCAGAAATCAGAAATGTAATTCTGATCTTGATAACAAAACTTCTGCATATTTTCTTGCACATAAACATCTTTCACAAGTAACCCAGCTGGAGGAGTTGTTAGTGGAAAAGGAGCAAAAAATTGCAATACTGACTCAGCAAAATAATATTTCACTGGAGGAGATAGAAATGTTGAAGAAAGAACTTATCAATAAGACCAAAGAAATGGAAGCTTCTCAGAAATGGTAGATTAATTATTTTTCAGTTGCTGCTTTTGTTTGACAGATTTTCCTATGAAGAGCTTCAGCTATGTATATTTTTCTGGTTTTCTTTCTCTTTTAATGTTTCATTTTTATACGTATTTTCTAAACCACAAAGACAAAATCTTATTTCTATCACAGTAAAGCTTGACAGTGACCTTCATTTATTATTTACTATAAACTTTCAGCTTAAAAGTTATGCTGAATTTCAGAATTGATCACAATATTTTATTGAATGCGTAATGTGAATAGTTCATTCAGGTATGCACATTTTAATTTAGTATAAAAGTAGGAAATCATTTTCTATTTACAACATTGTAACACACTCTCAATTTTATACTGTAGGTTTATAAAATTAGATTAGATAATTATATTCATGGTTTACTTATCTATGTATGATCTTTTAAGAGGAAAATGCACAGAAGCACTTAAGACGGCTCAATTTATCCAATACAAGCTTGTTAAATCATCTTTGACAACTTCACTAGATTAATTTCTTAGATGAAACTACTGTTATTCATGTCTCAACTGCCATTTGATGAGTAATACTATATAAGGTTAAGATAAGAGTCAAGTTTACTTTTATTAAAATGCTTGATTGTATATTCTTTTGAGCATTTTATGTTGATTGTATTGGTACCTGTTAATTGCATGGTATTGTAAGCTGGATAAAATTTTCATTCTTTATGTACAATGTAAATCAAATCATATTTAAATGTACAGCATTCACATAACACATGAATGCTAGTTTTAGGTTTTTCTCTCTGAAGCTGTTTTTTTTTAATCAAATTGAGATCAGGTTATTCTGTGTTGTACTTGTTAATCTTTGATAGAGACTTAAAAGTAATGTAGTCATATTGGTAATAGAAATGTAAGTAACAGTTTGGGCACCATGCTCTTTTTCAAGTGAAGATTGTTTACATTGCTGAGATAACTCATTAATTCATTATTTTATCTTTATTTTGACTGAGTTAAACACCCTTCAGTTGAAATTGTGTATTGTGCCCAAAGTGCCACTTACATTGATATTAGCATACACAAGTTGAAGTTTGTAAAAAGCTGAGTATACTTTGTACATTATTTATCTGGAAATCCAACTATTAAAGAATGCTCTATAGATCTCTGCTTTGGCTAAAGAAATTTTTTTAGGAAAAGGTAAAAATATTGATATTTAAGGTTCAAGAGTGGTGTATGAATATTGTTGTATTAAATGTGATATATTTTATAGAAGCATGCAAAAATGTTTTGCTACATACATTAATACACAAGACACTGTGAAAGCCCAATTCAGCATGATCTGGAAAAGTTTGACAGCTCTATCAGCTTAAACTACTTGAAGATAATTCCTGGAGCTCATGATGTATGGGCTTTATGAATTAAAGAGACCAATGACATTAAGCAGAGAAAGCCACTATTGAATAAGATTAATTATTCACTTCATGAAGAGACATTAGACTCTTATTTATTTATTGTGTTATCCTGTATATTAAGAATTGCTTGTATTAATAATTACATACATTGTGAAAAAAATGTATACTCCATGTCAGCTTCAACCTCAGAATCCATAAGCTGGCTTTTCAATTTTTTATAGTATTTGTGCCCTCCTTAGATTGTTATCTTTTAAATATAGTTGTATATTTTTCTCATTGGAACTTAAGAAAAAACATTGAAAATGAGCTATAACCTTTAAGAACTGAATATATCAGTATAGTTTATGAAAATGTAGTTTTGATACTATTCAACCTAATGTTGGTTGTTGTTAAAGGCAGTTTATTTTCAAGCTTGTATTCTTGTAATTCTGGAAATATAATTAATTTTGTCCATAAATTTATTCATTACTCATTCTTTATTCAGACTGCTTTAATTTCTCTTAACTTCATCATGATAACACTGCTAACTACTCAGAAGTTTGTATGTTCTCTGTAACAAATTTTTGTTATTGAATTATTTTAAATATAAGAATGAGACTGAAAAAGTTGTGATTCAGTCAACTGTATCAGAATAGTTGGCTCGTCAACTTGAATGTGACTACACCTATATACATATAGACGTACACAAGTCACTTTATTAGGACTTTCACTTGATATTGGATTGGACCATCTTTTACCATGATAATAGCCTAGACTTAGTAATACATAGCTTTTAAAAGTTTCCAGGTGTCTTCTCCAATATTATATCACTCATTAAGGATTATGATCCACCATATATTTTTTAATGTTTGCAGAGGAGTACGGGGGTGAATTTAATGTTCAAGTTCATCCAAAAAGTGCCCAGTTGGATTGAGAGTTTATGGTTGTGGTGGCTAAGGAAATAACTTTTCTTCAAACCAGTTTTACACAGTATTAGTACAGTGACTTACTTCATTATTATCATTAATGAACATTACTCATCAGGGTGAAAAAGTGTCATTTTTGGATGAAGATGATTGGAAGCAGTGTTTATGTACACTATGGATAATATTCGCCCTTTTTAGGTAATCAAGTGACACAATAGCTACTACAAGAATGTTTTCCACACCATTATACTACCTCCAACAGCAACGTTGCATGCTCAAACTAATAATGGTGCTTTTAATATTTTTAATGTATTATCAGCACAGAAAAGAGTGAATTGCAACTCATTAGAACTCATCATATGCTTCATGTCGTTCATTGTCTACTCTTTGTGTTTTAGCACTGGTTTCCTTTGCATATGAGATAAGTAATTTTCTGACTGGTTTTCAACTACCATGTGGTAATTTTGGTAATGTTCTTCAGTATGACTGATGAAACAACTAAGATGCAGTCTTTCATCTGTTGCACTTTACAAGACTGTCTTATCTTTTACCCCTATCAGTCGCCAGTGATTGACAGCTAAAATTTTTCTCTTTTAATTATCACTTTTAATAAGTAGTGGAAACAGATGTGTCTGGTCAAAGAAATAGTTTTTCATAAAGACATTCTTGCTGGATAGAAACCTACTCCCATACCTGTTTGAAAATTGGAGAGATCCTTGCTCTTTCCTATTGCCTTGCAAACATTTCATAATATGACTACATACTACATCTTTATCAGTTTTGGTCACAAGTCACAAAAATAAGCAATTTGTCAAAACTAGCATTTCTCATTATGACTATTTTTGATTATTCAAACTCTCCAAGTCTCATGTGAGAAGAATCAATTAGTTGAATGTAATCAGTAAAGAAACTCGGTTATTAAATGATTATCAAATTGTACTCTAGTTTCTATACTATTATTTCTGTGTTGTCATCCCAATGTTTTTATCATATTAGAAAAGTTTCAGCATTAGTATTTTTCTAATTTACTTTCTTTGTTTGTTATTTTTCAGTGTTCCATAATCATTCAGTAAATTCACATAAAGTTTTAAAATATTTGTAGCTCAGAACAGAAACTGACAAATATGTTACAAGAGGCTGAACAGAAGCTAGAACTGAAGGAGTTAGAAATTAAAGATCAACAGATGCAGGTGGATACTTTACAAAAAGAAGTCACAGAACTTAAAGACACTGCCCTGAAAAGTCCTAGCAGAGCTTTAAAAAATATGGTAGAGAGACTAAGTTGTCAGATCTCAGATAAAGAGAAACAGCTGCAGGTTTGTCATAGTGACAGTATAATATAGAACCTCTGTGATTTTATTTTTTAATGACAGTTTTGTATAATTGTAATAGCTTGCACGAGAAACAGTGCTCTTTAAATAAAAAGGAAAATAATGCATTTGAACCTTATTTTCATAAATATTGTTTAATGCATTAAAGAAATTTTATTTATCTTTTAACACTCAGTCTGCAAGTCAATGAGACTGAATTGGGTGGGCTACAAAGGGGTACCACAGTTTCTGGAACCAAAAGAAATGTACTCCAAGAAAGGTCTCAAACTGTTAACATCAAAAACAACACTTCATTGCCATAAGAACTCTCTTCTCAATAATATTTGGCCACAAAAAGTAGTAAAAATGTTCATGTTCAGGCAATTTCTGTGCTTATCTACCTTACAGTAGCAAGTAAGCTTCATTGAGGCTTCCTCAGTCATCTCTATCAACAGAACTCATGAAAAATGCTGAAAACATTATTTTTTGAAATTAGCAATGAAATTTTGTATTGCACAACATTTGCATCCATTACTGTGTTTTATATAGGATTTTGGATTGGAGTATGGGTTTTAGTCTCTGGAAACTAGTGTGAATGCAGTCTTGCTGGTTGGCAATTCAGATTCCAGATATTGCAAGAGAAATTATAGTATCAGAAAACTTTATTTGGTAATCAATCCACCAAACATGTCTCCCTGACTTGCAGATTGTGTGTTGATATATAAAGTATTTTTGTGACATCTCACAATACTTGAGGTAACTGGTGTTTTCAACTGACCCCAAAAGCAAATCATTAGAAGTGCTGATTTCATACAAACCTCATAATTCTCAGAGTAGTTTTTCATAAATCAAGATTTATAAACATAGACTTTGTTCTTGAAAATGAATCATTAATTTTTCAGCTGCTTAGATGTCATTTAAACACATACATAATATTACCAGAAACAAATATGGAAGTATGTGGTGTTCTAAGACATAAAGCAGAAAAACTTTTTAAACTGTGTTGATGGGTTCACAATATGTAAAGCATTAAGGAGGGCATTAATTATCTAATTAATAAGTAATCTATTGTCAACATAAACTTTCAATAAAGGATCATTCTCAGTATACCATAAATGGCACTGAGTGAACATTATAATGAAAGACTAGCCATTAAACTCATTAAACATTGTATATTTCTTGTGATAAAAAATTCCCCCAAGGCAATATAGATTGATAAATGGTAGAAACATAATATTAATGATAAAACAACTGTACCATATTATGAATAATAACTTGTAGCATACCATGTTGTTCGAGATAGATTGGGTACAGTTATAGTATAATAGATAGTAATTATAATATTGACAATTAGGAAAATGAGCTAAACCTATAGTGTAACTGTGGTCAACTTAAACTTCCAGATTATTTTTGATACTTTCAATTACCTATGTACCCTTATTGTTCAATTTTATTTTTCTGTAGTATTTATATGTTTCATTTAAAAACAAAATTAAAAATCTATCACCTCACTCAGAAGTACTGCATTTGGCTTGGCACAGTCCATGCCACTTGTTAACAAATTTAATATGGCTATACATTTGGGATAATATGAAAAACTACACTAGATTTAATGCATTAATTGTATATTCTAATGAATCTAAAACAAAAACAATAAGTTTTTATATAAATATTGGAATATTGGTTTAACAACAAAGTAAAAAAAATGGAGTTATAGAATTGCAAAAATAGTTTTTCAAAGAATTATTTCACTGATCTAGTGGAGAAGTATTTGTGTGCCATATCTTTATGTTTTAGATACATTATGAGTATGTTTTAACTTGTAGCTAAGATATGTTTATGTGGAAGTAGTTTGTAGCTTAGAAATTCATTGCTCTAAAATGCTAAATAAATTAAAACAATTGGAAAACCTGGCCTTTTTAATAAAGTTTAATAATGTGTGTACTTAACATTGGTGAAGTTTGCATTCAGTGGGCTTTGATAACAAATATTTGTTTCCTTAAAAACATCTGCAACTAGTTTTCTTTTTATTGCAGATTTTTTTGTTGTTATTGTTAAAGTGTTGGATAGAATGACTAATATTGAGTAACTTACTTGTATCTAGGCATTGGTAAAGAGAAGTGTAAGATAGAAGGAAGGAATGATACTGAATAAGCTACTGCTTTTTAGGTATTAGTAAAGGGATGTATGTGATAAAATGAGTGATAATGAGTAAGTATGTAGAACAAAGGTATGTGTATGATGGAATAAATGATTTTGGGATGACTATTTTCATGTTAGCTAAGGGGAAGCTGTTTGATTATATAATGTGCATTTATGTTGCTTATTGTTATTTGTATAATCAAATTTATTTTCCTTGAACATTTGCAAATAGTGTTTGTAGAATTTGTACTTAATATTTTACAGGCATTAAGTAAAGCATTGACTGATTTGCGTGCTAACATGGTGAATGCAGTCAAAGAGAGTATGACAGCTCAGCAACAACATGCATCCGATCAACTTTCTGTGCAAGAGATGATAGAATCCAAAACAAAGCCTCTGCAGGTAGTTAGTTTTACTCTTCACTTCCTAGTGTGCAGGCTTTATTGACAGTCTTTATCTATTACTACATATTTTAGAAGTACTGTATTGCTGTACAATGGTGATTTTTGTTACAACTCTTAGGTTCAACAAATATAAAACTGTTTGGTTTTGATTGCAAAAAGTATAACTCTAGTATGTGAAATAAAATTTTTCCTTTTATGTTTTATAGTTAAAACTCAAGCAACTAGAATTACAAAATGGTAAACTGAGGATGGAAAATCAAAGACTTTATAAAGAGGAGGAAATGTTGAATAGCGAGTTAGAGCAACTAAAAAGTGAGATAGGTAAAGGATGTTTTATTACGTTTTGTCAAGTTATTTTGTTGCTTTCATCTAGAATGCAAAAAATATTTGGATGTATTTCAACTTTTGTATTTCTTAATTTATGGTTCAGTATTTAAGCTTTAAGTTCATAAGTTAGCTCATTTTAGAAACTACTGGAAATGACTGCTTTTCAATCTCTCAGATATCTTTCATGTTCAAGTATTCTCTTTATATAAAGTTGCTAGTAATTATTTATTAAGTTTATTGTATTTCATTTGTCATGTTCCACTGATAGTTTTTGTAGTTAGCCAAAACTATTTAAATTTATCAAAATCTGTATATTTAGGCATGCTCAATATAAATGTATACAAATGGACATTTTAAGCCTATTCTATTAGTTATAATTCTAATGGAAAACAACTATTTTGATCAGTTCTTATGATTTATCAAAGTTTATAATTTTTATCGAGAGAAACATTTCTAGTTGTGGTTAAAATTGAATATATATATATTAACCTTTGTAAAACTATAATCAAAGTTATATAAGAATTGGTTAGCTCTACAGTTAAGCAACTAAAAGTCACTTTTCTGAAGCTTTGTAATCAAATGTTTAAATTCCACCTATGCGTAGCACTTCATCAAATATATAAATATAACTTTCATCAATCTTTACAGTTAAATGTCTGAATATTGTTTTCTATGCATCATCATGATCTAAAGCCTATAATAAATTTCTGAATATTGTTTTACATACATCATCAGGATCTCATCTAACTGATGCTTTATCCTGAAACATAAACTATAGAGAAGAAAATTTACTATTCAACATTGAATTAATATTTGGACATATTGCAACTTTTTGTTACATTTTATCTTGTGTATTTTGTGTTTGATTAGAAATGCTATCCATTTAAACAAATATGAAGCTCCATTGGGTAGCATCATCCACTCTGTTCATATCAGAATGGATACAGCATTGAACTACGTAAAATATGTGTGTATCAAATTTCCTAATCAGTTAAAGATTAAACCTCAGCACATCCCATCCAATAGGCAATAATTAATTTTGATATGGTATGAAAAATAAAAATACATTAAATTTCATACCAATTATTCTGTTATTTTAAAACAAATGAAGGGAAGATTAAGGCTTGTCATGTTTAAGATCTGGTGCAGTGAATCCTGTAGTGTATTTTTCTCCAGGACTTTTCAATTACTTTGTAAAACTATCCACTGGAGAATAAGGTTTCAGAATTTATGGAGATTGTAATCAGTGTGATTGTTTCAGTATTTGGGTTGCATGTCCAGCTTTTTATAATTTTATGTAATAAGTTTATTTGTTCTTAAAAATTCTGCTGAGTTTGGAACCACTTAGTACTCAGTCATTTATCATGAATATTATTATGTGTTGTTTCAAATTTCCATGTAAGATAATTTTTATCTTTAGTGCTAAATTAGTTGTGAAATCCTTAATTAGGGAAAACAAAACTATTTAACTTAATGAAACAGGCTCAACTAAATATTTTTATTAAAATATTCTCAGTCAGTTCATCATATATTTTAAACAAGAGAACCATAACTTATCAAATACTGTTTAGATCTCACTCTTGTTAACCAGAAGTCATAACCTAACAGAACTTTAAAGAGAATGTGAATTGGGAAAATAGTTTTGGCATTTTACATAGATATTTGTTTTTGACTTAAGTTGAAACTTGCTGTGTCTCAACACAAACTAGATCTGTTAAAATGTGTTGTGTATATGTTACTTTGAATCATTTTTAATGTTTCAGGAAGAAAGAAAAATGTGTTAGAGATGGAAAAGGAAGAGTTAAAAAAACAAGTCCATAAAGCAAAGAGTTCCACTCAGCAGGTAAGAGGATTCAGATAATACCTGATGTTTCATCTGTCTGTGATGTCTGATAACTTGACGTTATGGTGTCAATAACATTCCTAAATTATGGTAAAAACACAGAGAAAATAATGACAATCAACCAATATCTCTGTGTGTGGATGCCTCACGTTGTCTGCCAGGTGGGGCCCCAGCTGAGGGATTTATTTATACTTGTGTTTCCCACTCACGCTCCCAAATGTCAGCACACCCGTTGTCTGGCAGTCGATTCAAGCTCATGGAAGGTTTTCACTTTTCACTGTAGAGGGGGAAAATGTTTTTTACAGTTGTGGGGAAAAGTCGATCCCCACTGTCAACAATGGTTAATCTTCTGTCAACCACAGTCACTTCCAGCAGTGAAAGGGTTAAACATTCTATTTCAACCAAATTAAAAGTAATAGTTTTTTGGTGTCATTGTTCCAGCTAATGTTATTTAATTATGTTATTACTTAGATTAAGATCACTTTAAATAAATGGTTTAACCCTCTTGCCATGGGCATCTTTTTCTATTCATGTCACATGGTTTTTTGTGAGTGTCATTCAAAATTTAATTAAGCAATTTTCTTATCATGGGATACAAATAAATATAGGTTAAAAACATAGATAATAATCCAAATTTTAATGGTATATAATATTAAGTTCTTAATTTTATAAGGCAA